CACACACACACACACATATATGTATATAAGGAGCTCTGGTAGCGTAATGGTTACGAATTGGGCTGCTAACCTCAGGGTCAGCAGTTCGAAACTATCAGCTGTTCCACGGGAGAAAGATGAGGCTTTCTGCTGCCGTAAAGATTTACAGCCTCAGAAACCCTGTACAGGGTTGCTATGAGTCGGAACCGACTCCACGGCACATAACAACAACAACATATATGTATATATATATATACACACACACACACTGCACATATACCTGTAAATGTATGAATGTGCATGTGTGTATATGCATCCTATATTGCATATGGCGCAGGATAAAAACTGCAAACAATGGCTGCCTGTAGTGATGATGACACTGAACACTAGAGGTAGAAACAGTGCCCCACTTCTCATAGTATATGCTTCTGATATCTTTCAAACTCTGTACTGTATGCATCATCTATTTACAAAACAATAACTCTTTAGCTGATGAACATTTCATAGCATTCCCCTATTTTAAAGGCAGTAAATTTGGTGTCTAGCTATCAAATGACTGACTTCAAAGATTCCAAGAGCCAAGCAATGTCTCATGAACTTGAGGCACTGTCCCCCTGGTGTGCCCACTGGAAGTCGGCACCAGCCCAAGGCAGTGGGTACGCCAACCCTCAATAAGCAGAGCCTCTGCCCGAAGGCAATCCAGTAACTGTCCTCACTGACTGAGTCAACTAAGTTTAGAAATCTCTGAAGACTAAAATCCATGGAGTCTATACCATGGCATCACTTTTACACAGCCATTGTTGTTAGACTACAACACTAGTAGTAAGGTCAAAATTGAGGTCAAAAGTAATCAAGACTGTCAGTTGCCCAACCCCTAAAGTGATTATAATATCTGTAAAAATACCTGTGGGCTCACTGGAGCCAGATGTGCAAGACAAAAGCCAGCTCTATGGAAAGCAAGGGAAAGGGCACCCATTGTTCTATCAGGGTGGTGATAGGGGAGTGTGTTACCATTGAAGGGACCTTTGAGAGCCCATGTGTACAGCCAAGTATGCACACATTCATCTGAGGGCTTGGATATTAAAGTATGCACACATTCATTTGGTCACTTGGATATTAAAGGTGTGATATCAAAAGTTTATATTAAGAAATAAACCCTCTTGTTAGAGGGATCCCTGTGACAGATGTAGACTTTGAAAAGACACATCTCTGGAATAAATTGTTCCATCTGAATTTGAGCCTTGTATTTAAACTCCACCTGAAACAGGGGCTTTGACATCTCAGAGTTAACAGCCTGATGGGTCCACTGACTATGTAGCACACTCCATTCAGTGTTCACTGCCCACTCCTGCACCATCCTTACAATCAGTGCTATGATAGAGCCCATTGCTGCTGCCACTGTACCAATCAATGTCTTTGGGGGGGGGGGGGGAGCTTTCTCTTTTTTTTCTAACCCTCCACTTTATCTAGTATGAATGATGTCCTTCTCTAGGGACCAGTCCCCTCCTGATAATAGGTCAGAAGTATGAGAGACGAATTCCCTTCATCCTGGCTTCCAAGGAATATTCTGGATATACTTCTTCCAACATAAATTTGTTTATTCTTCTGTCAGTCCATGATACTTTTAATATTCTTCTCCAAAATTGTAACTCAAATTCTTCTATGGTTTTCCATAGGGTGTCTCCAGAGCTCAAAGGCAGGACTAGCACCTAACTATCATAAGAACTGTTTCCTACCCTGTTTAATAGTCCACTGCTAAACTGGGAGGAGACACAAGGGCACGTCTGCAGCACCCATATATCTGCATCTGAGTGGTGGCTATACAGTCGTGTGAAAATTCATTGAGCTGTATGTACACTAATGATTTGTATGTTTATTCCTATTAAAATTTTTATTAAAGGGAAAAAAAGGACTCTAATACTAATGCCACTGTGGTTGTGTAATATTTCTCCTATTACCTATTCCACTCCCCAACCCACTCTTATCTTCCAAACACATCTCAGCAAGAAGAGAACTGGTCTACTTTACACACCTTAGATTTCAGACAAGGAGTCCATGTTTTCCAAAGGAATTTTGCAATGTTTCAAAACCCACTTTGTCTGTCACCAGCTCAACCCCTTCTTGTGCCTGGGGCTCTGGCTGGCCTTAGCTGTCGCAAGCTCTCTATGCTTTGATAGCCCTGTACAATGCTGCTTGAACTCCATGCCACAAGGCAACACTGTAAAGAAGCTGAAAGCAGAGAGAATATCAACTATCTCAAGTGGAACAAACAGATTTGCCCACAGAGGTTCTGGTATTGAAATGGGTTAAGACTGATAGGAACTACATTTTATGGGTTAAGACTGATAGGATCTGCATTTTATGTGCAATTGTTCACAAGGATACACAGAAACCAACTGTTAGGAAAAGCATTTCCTCACACTTAGGTGGGCCCCTGGCAGTAATGATAGTTAAGGAGGAGGTGACATGAGTTATGCACTTGCACTGTTGGGTATTTTAGCCTTTGTTATCATCCGGGGGTCTGCTTAAAAGTAAAACACTGATTCCTCCCCACCACCCTGCCACTCTCCATAAGGTTCTGTAACATGTGACTACAACAAAAGGCAGCACTCCCAAAGATCTGCAGTTGTGTAAGGGTTAACAGTTAATGAAGCATCAACGAGAAAGCATATGGATGCCACACCGCTTCCCTTGTCATGGAGCCTTACCTCGTTCAACGCACACATCCGAGCAATGGAGCCAATGTTGTTGGTGATGGTGACCAGAGTGGCTCGGGCGAGGTCTTCCTTGCTGATGGAATCTCGCTTTTCTTTACTCATCATGTTGCCAAAGCTATGTTGGAAATAGTAGTGAGAATGTTCAAATCATCCTCAGGCAGGCCCATGCTTCCACCAAAGAGCTGTATGTGGAAAGTGCTAGGAATAACTCTGTTCAAACTCAAATGACCTGACTTGACTATCACGGTTCACAAGCAGACAGGATTAAGCTATGAATGGTTGGCTGCCCTTTTCATAATAGGGACAATGTAGAATGGCTATTGATGGGGACAGAAAAAAAAAAAAAAAAAAATTAGTTATTTGGACAAGAACTGAACAGGGGAAAAACTGTTGCAGTGTTCCAGAACCTTCTTTCAAAGTTGCTCTATTTTAGCACCACCATCGAGAGCTATACACTCAGTGCTTTATTATAGGCCAGAGATCAAATCTGAGCTCAACAGATACTTGCACCAGGCTGGTGAGGTGACATTTAAAAAAAAACAAAACCAACATGAATAGCCAAGGTGGAGAGGTTGCCTTGTGTGTAATCACTACTGCCCCTAGCTACTTAGTCTCTACCTTGATGCTACGGCAGATCCTTGAAGGCCAAATCGTTCATAGTCTCCTCCGTAAATGTCCTTGACCAGTTTATCAACATTGGTGCTGTCGCCTTTAGCTGCCATTTCCAGAGCTTCTTCAAAGGTCTCACAACCAGTCAGCAAGCAACATAGGCCTAGGAATGTTCCACCTCCAAGACTGAAGGAACAATAAGGTTTATTTTTAAATTTTACTTGAAAATATTGCCCATCCAAGTCCCCAACTACATCAACACCATAAATATGGGTTAATAAAAACAGGAGAAGAACAAAGGGGCACTTGAATTAAAGTGCTAGGGTAGATTGGATAAGAAAGAGGGCAGGAATTAAAAACACACATCAAGGAAAACCTACTTCTAAATTTAAACCCCAAACCAGAAAAAGACTCTCACTGATTTCAGTTGTGAGACCTTCAGCTAGCCACTAACCTAAGTGTATCAGTCTTCCCACCTACAAACTGGGCTCACTATAGTCTCTCCTATTTGGGTGACTTAAAAGCAGCAAAGAACCAGAAGGATTATTATTAAACAAACCAACAAAAATAATAAATGACCCTAACAAAATCAACACCTGCAGCTAACTATAAATAGTCAGAGAAAGAAACTAGGGCACCACTATGGGGCCAAACCATCTGATGGCAGCGCAGACCTCGGCCTCTGCCAGGACTTTAGAGATAATCCCATCTATCCTCCTTGGAAATTCATGGATCTGTATGATGTAAGACTTTTTTCTAGTAGATTCCAGAAAAAGTTATGAATATTTTACTTGCCATACAACAGTCATAAAACAGTTAACAAAGGTCATAAAATGGTTCCAATGTTCGGAACCATGTTGTTATAAGCTTTCCATTGTTTATGGGACTGTTCCTTTAAAATAGCCTTTTTTAGACACAATTTGAAATAGATCATGATAGTTGTAGATAAACTCAAAGGAGTATCCATATCAAAGAAACCTGATGGAAGAATCCGATTCCAAGTAGCAGTAAGATATCACCACTGAACTCCTGGCAGGAAAAAGGATTTGCTAAAATAATGCACCTGGTTTCATTCTTAATTTACCATGCAGAACAGTGGACATAGGAGAGCTGCTCACACCAGTTTGTTCTAAAGCCCCAAAGAGTTGCCAACTCTTTTCTTCCCCCTTCAATTGTTATAAATTCTGACACACCTGGTGTGTCAAAACAGAACTGAGCTCCACAGGCTGGTTTCTAGGCTGTTTTCAGAAACAGGCTGCCAGGCCTTTATTCCGAGGTACCTTTAGGTAGACTCCAACGTCCCACCTTGTGGTTAGCAGTTGAGATGTTAACTGTATGCACCGCCCAGGGACTCCTACATGTTTGGATATTGAACTGTCAACTGTAAGCACCGCCTAGGGACACCTACATGCTTGGATATTGGCATCTAATTATAAGAAAAGTTCAAGTTGGGAGTAAGGTCATTTTTCAATTAAGTTTGGGAACAAAATTTAGTGTAAAAGGCATTATCAGTAAACTGTTAATAACAAGAAGACCGTTGTTGTTAAATACCATGGAGTCAGTTCCGAATCATAGTGACCCCGCACAGGGTTTCCAAGGCTGTAAATCTTTACACGAGCATCTTTCTCCCACAGAACAGCTGGTAGTTTTGAACTGCTGACCTTAAGGTTAGCAGCCCGATTCATAACCACTATGCTACCAGAGCTCCAGGTAGCAGACTGTAAATAGGCACACAGTTCATCAAATCTCAGATGACAGCTTTTAAAATGCAATTCTTATAAAAACATACACACTTGATTGAAATGATGTGTTCTCGTGGAAACATTAAGAAGCCCTGGGGGAGTGTTTGGCAGCTAACTGAAAAGTTGCTGGTTCAGACCCACCCAGTGGTTCCATAGGAAAAGGATCTGGCCATCTGCTTCTGTCAAGATTACAGCCCAGAAAACCCTCATAGGGCAGTTCTACTGTCACATGGAGTTGCCATGAGTCGGAATAAACTTGATGGCACACACCACCACCACCACATGGGACAATGTAACCAGGCACCCAAACTGTAGGCACAGTGCAATGAAGAAACGAAGGGTCCTACGTACATTATCACGTTGACATCTCAGGCACAGTAGAAATTTTAGATTTCCATTAAGAATGATTTCTTTATTTACATTTATTTAACATGACAGTTCATATTATTTGCTCGTTTCAAATGAAATTACAGAGCTAGTGTGTTGTAATGGGAACACTTTATGGTTTGTGTCTCACCTGACTTTGTTTTGTTTTTTTAGATGTATAAATTTTTTAAAAAGGGCATCTTTGCAGACACCCTGGCTTCTAAATGCCTTTCACCACTTCCCTTCTCCCCGCTCACATAAATAACCTCTCTTTGAACAACAGGTATTCATACTAATTAAAGTGTGGAGAACCTACTCCAAGGATAGGCAACTGAACACATTGGCTGACTTAGAAAGAAGGCAACTCATCAAATGATGAGTCAGCATGGGTGAAAAAGGACAAGTGCTCTGTATGGCTGGGAAATGACAGGTGATTCCGGACAAAGGAATCTGAGCTGAATGGAGGCTATGAACATGCTTGTGCATAACTGATAAGCCACAGAGAGGAGGAAAGAGCCAAACATTCCAGCACATTCTTAATACCTTCAACATGTTAACGATCACTTAATTGAGTCTCCCATTCAAAATCAGATACATCTGTTAACTTTGGCAGACACACAGTAATACCGTTAATAAATCAGAGACAAAAACATATAGTTGGAAACAGCTGCTAAATACTAACAGTACACATACACACACACACACACAAATCCCAAACCAAATAATCTTGTAGTAAGGCATTTTAGAGACTAGAAAAAAACCTTCAATTTACTGATTATCAGTGCCTTTAATATAGAATCCAAATGCTGAGATAAATTCCTCTTTTATTAGGCTATATATTTTAATAATGTCAGCTGTAAAGTCTTATTTTTTTTATTGACTTTATTATAAAATTTGAGTGTGTTATGAGGAAAGAAATGTCACTACCCAATCTGGGATGCAATAAAATTACATACAAGACTGAAACAAACCATTTTAAAAACATACACTTATAAAAGAATACTGATATCCTGTAATAATGTGGTTTCCTAAAACTAAAAACGCTTAATGGGGAAATAGGGTCTAACACATAACAAAATCCAAGAGTTACAAGTGTCAGTCTCATAATAAAATCAATCCAATCCCATTGCCATTGAGTTGATTCTGACTCTTAGAGACCCAAAAGGACAGAGGAGAACTGCCCCATAGTTTCCAAGGCTGTAATTTTTGTGGAAGCAGACTGCCTCACCTTTCTCCTGCAGAGCAGCTGATAGTTTTGAACTGCCGACCACTTTGATTAGCAGCCAAGCACTGTAAACACCAGGGCTTCTGAGAAGTCTGACAATAGGAGTAGCAAACTCGAAGATTAAGCCATTTGCTTAAATCAGTGCTTCCCAAAGTGTGTTCCACGTACTGCTCACTGCTGATCAAAACTGTTTATGCCAGCGTTTTTTAACTTATGTCTAAAGAAACCTTTGGAAGAAATGCTCTGATTGAATGAGGACGACCTAGAGCCCCACAAGTTTAATGACTCCCTACCTGCCACCCCTGTGTAGAGAAACCCCTAAAAGGGCTCTCCATTAACCTTCAGAATCCTGTAACACATTCCCAAACTGATTGAAGACAGTTTATAGGGAAGCGTGGACACCGGACAGGATTTGTTGGTGACGGCAAAACATTGGTCATTAAATGTCTACCAATAGCTGGAATTTACAGGCATTATTACATGTATCATTAAAGGCAAACATTACCATTAGCTCACTGACTGCTATTTGAGAAGATAATCCACAGTCTAGGAATTTTCAAGTTTGAGAAAGTGTACTTTAACGCAGTTCATAAACCTGTTAAATGTTAATCATCACAACAATAAACGTCTCTAATTAAGGAAAAATGTCTCGCTTGTTGTAATCTTGGAACTAGCTCTAGCAATTCAATGATTCCTACGAGGAAGTCTATTTAATCTGAAAAATTGGTCTTTATCAGAAGATTAACGTGCCCTGGTGGTGTAGTGGATTACGAGTTGGGCTGTTAACTGCAAGGTCACAGTTCGAATCCACCAGCTGAGTTGATCTGAGGGAGAAAGAGGAGGGTTTCTGCTTCCATGAAGATGTACAGCTTCAGAAGTCCTAGAGGGGGTCACTATGAGTCAGCACCAACTTCACAGCACACCACCACCACCACTAGGAGCTTCCTCTCTAAAGTAAACCCAGCTCAGCAGAAATGCTTATTTACCTGGGATATTCCTGACAGTCCTAATGAGGCCACGGAGTCATCGTTTTGATTCCCAGGACAGCAAGCAAGCTTTAATTCTGCATTTCCAAGTAAGAGAATAGATGCCTAGTGGCAAATACCGTACCACAGCCTGTACTCTGGGAACAAGCCAGATTCAGCAGAATGTGTGTGCACAGGTGTGCACATCTGCATGTAAGGCACTATTATATTTAGGGCTCAGTCATTTTTTGCGGTGGGGGCTGGACCGTGTACTGTAGGATGCTTTGCAGTGTCCATGGCTTCTACTCATTAGATGCCAGTACCACCCTGTCCGTAATTGTGACAATCTCCAGACATTGCCAAACATCCCTTGAGGAGCTAATCATCCCCCTTCCCAGTAGAAACCAATCCATCACATAATGGAAATACACTGGCAACCCAGTGCTCGCCTTTTAACGGGTGAGAAATACTGCAGAACTTTAGCGCAGAAACAATCTAAGAAACAACCCCTCATGGTATAAAGGAGGACACTGAGGCCCCAGAAAAGTTACACCATGTCTTCATCTACAAAAGACAATGGCGTCAACAGCGTATCCCAAAGCACATTCCAAAAAAACACTAGTTCCTTAAATTGTTCCTCCAAAAACAGGTTCTGTGGTTCAATCGGTTAGAGAAATGGTTTACCAGAAATCCCCCTCTTAGAAATTGACAGATCAAGTGTTCATTGTAAAGGCTTTAAAAAGTTTTGCAATAAAGAAAGCCTGTTTAATTTTGTTGACACTAGAATTTCCCTAAAATTTCAGAAGCCAATATTTTTCCCCATGAGAAATCCCCACAAACAGGAAGCTTGAGTCCATCTCAGCTTCAACAACAAACACAAGACAGCTCCGTTCAGTTATAGTCATAAAGCTGTTTTCTCGTCCAAAGCATTCCACAACTGCCCGGGAGGTATACTATTTCAGTTTTGGCTGAAGCATTTTCCCGAGGGGAAAAATCATTCTCTGCAAACTGTTTGGTTTGCTGTTGGGTTGGCATATTATGTCAACTTATCCTTCAGTGACTACCTTATATGTACCCAGCATTGTCCGAAACACCAAAGTCCCAAAAGAAGGCTTCTTCTGAAGTCCCTCTGACCATCCCAGGGGATCATTCTACTGGATTTATTGTCCTTGTCATTCATTTGGCACTTAATAGAGTGTGGCATTGCAGGATAATACACTGGACCACAAAGTCACTTTGAGCCACAAGGTCGGTGGTTCAAACCCACCCGCCACTCCAGGGTCACTATGAGTTGGAACCAACTCGACGGCACTTAACAACAACATATAATGATGTATTGATGTGCGCGAGCCTTCTTTCCTTAACCCTTTAACCTGACCAGAATCTCCTTGCTTTAGCAGGGTAAAAGCCGAACAACAAAACTAAACCTGTTGCTGCTGAGTCAATTCCAACTCATAGCGATCTTATAAGATAGAGTAGAAGTACCCTATGGGATTTACAAGGCTGAACTCTTTATGGGAGCAGACTGTCCCATCTTTCTCCTGGGGAAGAGCTGGTGAGTTCGAACCACTGACCTTTCTGTCAGCAGCTGAGTGCTTAACCATTGTGCCACCAGGACTCCTTCCAGCATGGCAAGGACTGTGTTTTATTCATCTTTAGACAAATCACCTTCTTGTTCCTTTAACATATCACCGAATTAATTCTTTTTGGCTGGCTGAGGAGGACAAGCTCTTTTCTGTTGGAATGTATTTAAGGTGTGTTGTTGTTACGTGCCGTGGAGTCGGTTCCAACTCATAGCGACCCTGTACAGGGTTTCCGAGGCTGTAAATCTTTACGGGAGCAGAAAGCCTCATCTTTCTCCTACAGAACAGCTGGTAGTTTCGAACTGCTGACCTTGTGGTTCGCAGCCCGATTCGTAACCACTATGCTACCAGAGCTCCTTCATTTAAGGTATATAGCCCCCTATTGTAAGCATGTTTACCTGGTCCCTGTAACTCTTTTATAGTTGTCCTTGGAATACACTGCTAGAATGCTGACACCTGAGCCCATGTTAACCAGCAACATAGGGTATGGATTGTCAAGGCAGTATGGCTTTTTCTGACACAATTCCGGATTTGTGGGGTTTTCAAAATAGTAACATTCTGGCTTGCCATTGAAGCCGACAGAATCGACGTAAAGCAGGCCCTGAATCAGACAGTCCAATTCGTCCAGTTTATGGAGCTGCAGATCAGCAATCTGAAAGAGAACAAGACTTGGTGAGAGAGACTGTGACCACCGCAGGGAAAGCCTGAGGGGCTCTAGCAGGACTTAAGATTGAGACGGTAACATTAAAAGCCTGGAAACACCCTTGAGACACCAAGTGGTGAAATCTTAGTGACAATCAGTCATTAGGCCTGAAGCTAGGCAGCTAAAGGAGGGAGCTAGCTGGAGAGGTATTCGTTAGCATTGAAGTGGCTGAAGGGTGGCCTCCCACAGCTCCTAACTCCCAGAAACTCTGAATGTAACTTTATTTAGAACAAAGGTTTTACATGGGTAATCTCCTTAACGATTTTGAGATGAAGAGATTGTCCTAGATTATCCAGGTGGGCCCTACATCCATTGACAAGTGTACTGAGAAGAGATTTGATTGACACAGAGGAGAAGTCATGTGAAGATGGAGGCAGTGACAAGTGAAGACATTAGGACAGTCGCCAGACACTGAGAGGCAAGGAATGAAATCCGCCCCCCTAGAGCCTCTGTGGGAGTCCTGGTGTGGCGCTGTGGGTTAATGCACCAGACTGCAAAACTGTTTGAACTGCAAGGTTGGCGGTTCAAGCTCACCAGCTGCTCCTCAGAACCTCTATACAGGGTCGCTATGGGTTGGAATTGACTTGACAGCACTTAACAACAACAACAACAGAGCCTCTGGGAGTCCTGGTGTGGCGCTGCAGGTTAATGTGCTGGATAGCAAAGTCGGTTTGAACAGCAAGGTCAGCGGTTTAAGATCACCAGCCGCTCCTATACAGGGTCACTATGAGTCGGAATCGACTCAATGGCACACAATAATAACACAACAACTCTTCTGGAAGACGTATATTCCTGCTGACACCTTGATTATGGACTTCTGTAAAATCTCTCTGTGGACAACAAATTTCTGTTGTTTTAAATAACTAAATTTGTGATACGTTATAGCAGCCACAGGAAATGAATACAACACACCATCCAGAGAGGGGCTGTCCTGCAGGGCGAGAATATTTGTAAAGCAGCAAGAATCCTGCACTTTTCCTGCCACAGTGGTGCGTGAGGTCCTAAGGGAGCCTGGGAGCTAGGAAGATTCTCCTGTGAGCTCACAAAGTCCAACAACCCCTCCCACACTAAAGGCTCAGAAGTGACACCTAGCTTTGAATTTTACCTCCAACACTTACTGAGCTGAAGGTGTGGGGCAAGCTATTTAACTTCTCAAACCTCAGTTTACTCATCTGTAAAGTGGGAATAATAATAGTGCCTAATAATAGTGCCTACTGTATAATGGGAAGGAGCTCTGGTGGCGTAGTGGTTACGAATCGGGCTGCGAACCTTAAGGTCAGCGGTTCGAAACTACCAGCTGCTCCGCGGGAGAAAGATGAGGCTTTCTACTCCCGTAAA